CCTAAACTGAATGAGCTTCAAGCACCTTGAAACCTGAGGGCCCTGGAAGGAGCCTTACAAGGGAGTATCCCCTGGGGCTCAAGCTGCTTTAGCTTCTCTACAAACCCACCGTGCAGACAGGTAAGTACCTACGTCATCAAAATGGCTTTCAGTGGAAAAGAAATATGGTGAGGGAAACCAGAGCCCACCTGCCTGCCACACAGAAAGTTGACTTAGCCTTCCTTTTATTGAGTCTTAAATTTCCCACTGCTCAGCCATCTCATACTGTGACGAAAAAGTTCTAAGACATATTCCCACAACACTGGGGAGGTCTGGGGGTAAGGAGGAGGAGTTTTTCTAGGAGTAGTGAATAGGCACTTTATCAAGAAGATCAATCCAAGAGATGTCCTCTCGAGACTTATATACCTATAGATATCATAAAGGTTATTAGTCGGTTTTCCTTCTGATGTCAAAATAGTTTGAGAGGAATTTCTTCCTGAGAAGGAAAAGGATCCAGACACGCATTCAAATAACATTAACTTTGTTGGCATTATCTCAGTCAGCTCTTTTGCTTACTTTCTCCTCTTAATTGCTCTCCACACCCAGAAAAGGAAGAAAAAACAAAACCACTACTGACTTCAGCTGCCAGGTTCTAATGATAAACAACCACTTTCTGGCCAAACTTTAATTACAAGGCAGGCAGCGCACAGAGCAGGAAGCAGCCGGTTCGGACTCGAGGCCTCGCGCCCGCCCTCACCGCACTGAGAAACACCATCATTAAGCTAAGGCCCTACGAGAACCTGCATGTAGCCAGGAGGCTCAACATACTTTCCTACTCTGTGGTCACCGTCTAGAAGCTTCAGGGCCAAAACCACAGGGGCAGCTGCGACTGGGGTTTCTAGACTTGTCCCACGATTTTTTTTTTTTACTTCAAAATTTCCCCTTTGCCCTTTCACAGCGGCTAATAGTGGGAGTGACTTGCACAGATGAAAGTTAAAAACCAGTGTCACTCCGAATGCAAGGTCAGCTTTAAACGGGTGCCACTTAAACTTTGTACATGACAGGCTTCCTTCTAGGCCTCAGGGAAATGTTTGCCTCTGGAACTCTCCCACTTTTGAAGGCATGGCAACTGTGACCACGAGTGGCCTTTTTATCTGGTACTTAGAACACACATGAATGAAAATACTCATCCAACCACATCCTGGCGGGTTAACATCAGCTACACTAGGACCCAGAAAGCCCGCTCCTGGGTATTTACCCAGGAGAAATGAAAATATATGTCCACGCAACACTTGTATAAGAATGCCCATGGCAGCAATATTCATGGTATCCCTACCCAGGAAACCACCCAAATGTCCATCAATAGGAGTGGAGATAAATAAACTGGGGTATGTCCTTACAAGGGAACCCTAACTCGGCAATTTAAAAAAACCCAAACTACTGATATGTGCAACATGAGTGAATCTCACCTATTCTATGAAGGAAGAAGAACCAAAAAAAAAAAAAAAAATTTAAAAAGCACATAGTTTATGATTCCACTTACGTAAAGCGCTAGAATAACTGTGGTGAATCAAGTCAGAACAGCATGGACAGGAGGGAACTTTCTATGGGGAAAGAAATGTTCTATCTTGACTGAAGCAGAGGTGACAAAATTCATGGAACTGCACTTAAAATGTGTGCGTTTGATCATACATAAATTACAACTTAATATGAAAAGAGAAAACAAATAAATAGTGGCTGGGGGATGCGATGGGGCAAGAGGTTTAGCGCATCACTTTCTGGGCTGCTTGATTCTGCAGAGGCCGCATGAACATCTCAGACCCTGAAATGCCACAGCCCCTGGTTCTCAGGCTTGAGGCCTTCACCGGGCTGGCCTCCCCTGAGCTGCGCTGGCAACCTAAGGGAGGCAGGCAAAGGCTTAGGCAGCAGGACCCCCACAGGCCTCGAAGGCCAATATGAAGGGCGGTGGGCAATGCTGCGCATACAGTCAGCCTGGCACCTGGCCGCACCCTTGCCCAGCCTTCCAACAAAGGCCACTGACAGGAAGCCCTTGGGGAGGGGACAGAGGAGCCTGGGCCTCATAGGCTTCGCACAGGTCTGACGTCCACCTGCAGGGGGTGCCCTGCCAGTGATGAGGGTTCACACCCCAGGAGGAAAGCTCTAAGCTGGGTGAGTCTGTCTAGGCAGAGTGCCTCCCACCCACCCACAGGCCAAGATGGGCCCCAGACCCTCAAAGGAGGTTTTCAACAGCCTGGGTCAAGTAACCGTGTAGCTCTGTTTACCCTGGTAGTCTGTGCCTATTACAAGCACAGCTCCGTGTGCCTGGGGTCGAGTAAGTATGGAAAATCTGTCAGGATCATCATTCTCTGGGCTTGCCTTCTCCGTGTATGTGTGTGTGTGTGTGTACGCGTGTAGAGGGAAGGACAGTGACTGTCATTGTTAAAAATACTGATTTGATACACTCTCCCTCTTTCACCCCCCTTCACGAGACAGGGTCTTGCACATGGGCCTTTCCCACCAAGGCCTGGAATGGCTGCTCCTTCTTACCCCTCATACTCACCTTCAATGCCATTTCTTCAGGGGAACCTTCCTGGAGGTAGACCTCCCACCTTCACCCCCCTACCCTGCCCCCATCATCTCCTACCACTTTTCTTCACCCTCCTCATGACCGCAGTGACTTGTCTGCTTGCTCACCATCTGACCTCCCCACCTGCTGTAAGGCTGAGGAAAATGGGGATTGTGGCCGGTTTGTTCTCCACTATATAAGGAAGCATCTGGCCTGGCACACAGTAGGGCCTCAGTCAGTACTGGCTTAGTGGACAAATTCTGTATCTTCAAGCAAACCAACCAAAACCAAAACCCCCATGCGTACTTGTGCAAGTTTGCATGTGAAACAGCCCTATAATCCATGCCTGCTTCTGGAGAAGTCTCCTGGGAGCCAGTCTGAGGCTCTCTGTAACACAAGACATGCATGGCAGTGACAGAGAATACTGAAAAGTGGCTGTCCCATATCTGATCAAAGTACAAATCTCTGCGGCCAGAAGAAGAGATGTACATCTTATGGAACTGACCAGAAAATGCGGTTCACGAGCCATTTCATTCTCTAAAACACATACTATTACAGGGAGCAGGGGCTGCAGATGCAACCTGGGAAAATGAAAAATGAGCCAGTTGGGAACATACAACACGGAGGACAGGACATATATGCTGACTTGGCAAGTCATCTAGCACAGTGCCCAAGGAGGAAAATGCCCTGTGTGCACAGGCACGTGATGTAGTCTGCGACCCAGAACCTTGAGACTCACAGTGAAATCACTTAAAGAAAAAAATAAGATCTGGCACCAGACTGCCACCAGGCCTACAGGAGAGGTCCATGTTATCGCCAGACATGACAGCCCAGAGAAGAGCTCCCTGCCAAACCCCAGTCGGTCAAAAATAGTGCCCTCTCTTATTCTCTTGGTTACTTAGAAATCTGTTAAAACTGTTGGCCCAAAGAGTCCTCGCCCGAGGTCGGCCGTTCTGCCACTGACTGCTGAGGGATGTGGGAGTCCCAGGCCAAGTGAGAAGAGCACCAGCCTCAGCCCCCACTTCCTTTCTGTCAACTGTGACGGCCTCACTCAGACTCCCCAAGCCACAGTTTCCTGACCATTACTTAGTAAGTAAAGCAATGAACAGCATAAAGAATCCTATTCTTACACAAGTCATGACGTTTCAGTTGCTTCCTCCTTCACATTAGGGCGGCGATTCTGGTCATTTATTAAACACTTATTATGTGCTAGCTTACATGAATACGGCCTGGCGTTGTAAAAGTAGCAACTAATCTTAACAGGTCTCGGAGTGGGGGAAAAAAACATACATGGCTCTGGTTCTGCTTTTTGTGTTAGGAGGTGGGAAATAAGGACGGGAGAGTGAGCAGCAGGGGCAATTTTAAACTCAGTGCCTTTGGTAATTCATGCTGACTCAGCATGGTGTATTAGAATAGGATTTTTGCTGGAAGCAACTGCCAAGGACTCTGCCTGGTGGCTGACGGCAGCTACTTGCCAACTGTTCAGGGAAGAAAGCGAGGCTGGAGGGTGGAACCCCAGTGCTGAGACCTCTCAGTTCAGAGTGAGTGTTCAGGGGCCCTCTGAGTAAACGGGGTCCCACTCTGGCCTCTGCAGACACAAGAGCCCAGACGAGGCTGGGGCTGCTATGAATGGCACGGGCTGGGGAGGAGCAAGGGAACCAGAGCGGGATGTTTTGAGCTGCGCCCGCCCCCTCTGGGCCTTTCAGGGAGGTGGTGGGAGCTTTCTGGGTTGGTGTTCTCCTGCCTGATGCCATGTGCGGCAGGCCTGGCCTGGCAGCTTTCCCACAAGCCCAGCTCTCCCCTTCTCCCACGGCTGCCCGGGATGCGCCTGCCGCTGAGTCGGGGCAACTCTGCCCCAAGAAAGTACACAGGACCCAGACAGGCCCCACGGGCATCTGGAGAAACGGCAGACCAAGTGGTGGGAAATGGTGGTCAGCCAAAAGCAGAAACCAAAATTACACAAAGGGAAAAACAGGAAGAGTCCATGAAGCAAAAACGGCAAGTAAAGGTTTTGCATTTAACGCCCAGAGTGGCCTACCTTCACTCTCCCAGGAGAGAATTCTGTCATCCGGAGCCCAGTGCCCAGTTTGCCTGGAGTGCACGTGGAGGCCTACAGTCACCAGGGAACTCCAAACAGAGCTGAACCTGAGGGGCCTGACCCTCCCCTAGTGGGGTCTACAGATGTAGGAGCTCAGGTGTGTCCCCCAAGAGGTGAGGGTCCCTGACCAAAGTGGTGTATGCAGGCCAGGTGACGAGAAGAACCCAGGACCAGCCCGTGCTGGGCCTTCTGTGAGCAACCTACACTGGGGAATCCCCTAGAAGCTCCCCAGGCCGCGCAGTGTTTGAACCAGCCCCCTGAGGCCAGAGAGCAGCCGCCTTTTAGGGTGAGCATGCCTGAGGGGCAGCAGGGGTGAGGCTGAGGGGCTGAGCAGACTGTCTCTCCACCACTACTCACCATGTACGAAGGAAAGATCAGAACTCGTTTGTGCTTGCCACAAGGCCACTGGGGGTCATCCAGGAGATTTGGGTCATAGTCCATAAAGTCTCCCAGGTCGCTACCTGAGGATCACACACAGAATAATCAATAGGGGCCCCAGACTCCCTGAAGCAGAAGCAGGAGGGCGGATGCCAAGACTAAAGTTAGACTGAAGCAAGGCCGGCCTCAGGTCGTTGAGCCCAGAGTCACACCGCACACTCTGCCCCTCAGGAGACATCCCTACATGCCAGTGAAGGGTATCCCCTGCACAAGGGGGGTCACCAAATACTTAACATTCTCACAGTTTTTCCACTTTAGAAAATTATGTATCACTCCCCCCGACCTGAAGCGAGCACTCGGGTTACAAAATGGGGCACCAAGAAGGCGCATTTGCTGAACCTGCAGATCAAACGAGTAACTCAAGTCCTGCCCCGTGAGCCGCATGTTTCTGGTGTGAAAGCTTCCAGGCAGGCTGCTGTGTCCGTCCACAGATCAGCGTGGCGCCAGGGCAAACAGCTATCAACGGCCAGAGCTTGTGGGAACCGAAGGACAGTGCTTCCAAACTCAGCACCCGCACAGGCCTGAGCAATTTCCCCCCCTCACCTGGAGTTTCTCTGGAGTTTTCTCCCTTGTTTGAGTCTTACAAAGGTTTGTAGAGGCAAAGCTAGAAGCAAGCAAGCCCTCCTTCACACTCACAGGCCACGAGAATCACAAAAAGTTCTCACACTTGATCCAAATCGGAACACTGGGAAAATATTGGCAAGAACCAGGGTGAGATAAGGAGCTGAGTGGTGGGAGAGGGGTCCAGCCATATCTGCACGCTACAGATGGCCTTGGCATTTCTCCTTGTGGGAGCTCGGGAGTTGGTGGCTGAAACATCTCATTGGTGAGGTCCCCCTGTGGCCTGGCTGTGAACCTGTATGGCCTGAAATTGGGCTTGCCCCAAAGTCACGTGGCCCATGGGATGAGTTCATGCTCCATCCAGAGGCACCCGTCCTCCACTCTGCACACAGGGAGACCCAGCCCACACGGTGCACCGAGGCACCCTTCTCCACGCGCTGCCGGCCCCAGCCCCGCCCAAGGTTACCTGTGTCCAGGCTCCCCTGGGTGCTGCTTGCACGTCCTATGGAGAGGCTGCGGTGGCTCAGGTTACGGAACTGGGAGAAGGAGGACGTGGAGTCTATGGTATTTCTCCGGGCTCCGAAGGCATTTGTGGGTAACAGAAATTGGGTGTAAGAAACAGTCTAAAAGGTGAAGACGAAAACGGACAAAATGGATTACTCCCAGGCAATGATAGGTTTGCATTCATATTCTTACATCCGTACTTCTAAAATCCAATGAGATCTGAGATGAAATCTGTTTTGGTATTTATTTGTGCCAAAACCTAAACTCAACTAATTTGAGGCTACGTATAGTTTTAATTTATTGCACTTTGTGTGAATATTCATGTTATATGGTAGAAACATCACTGTGTTTGAGAACTATCCCAGAAGCACTGGGATGTTGTGTAATACACGAGGCACATACCGCATTGGCTTTTTTTCTTTTTTTGAACACCACACGAGCTTTATACCCCACCAAGTGCAGAATTCCAGAACACATCAGACCCCAAGAGTGTCTGATAAGGGGCTATGGCCTGCTATATGTTCTGTTGGCAGATGAGATCTCTGATGCTGGTCTCTAGCTCACCTCCCTCATTCCTGTGTGAACACTCAACCTTCAGGAATGGATACAGAACAAGTGTTTTTCTTTCCACCTACTTGGAGAAGCACGGCCCATATACCCCTGCTCGTGGACTCGGGGCTGATGACGTCCGGGCACAGTGGTGACCAGCTGTTCTGGCAGGGGGGAGGTGGGGAGGTCACTAGCTGCCCCAGCAGCTTCAGCTGGCAGCAAGCTACCCTGAGATGGCTTCCCCAAATACTTGCTTCATCTCCGTAAACAGGCTTTTGAAGGGTTTACAAAGATTACCAGGATCCAGCACAAAAAGGTCAAGTTCCTCTTTGAACTTTCACCCCTCAGACTTCCACATAGCAGCTCACTGGACTGCAGGTAAGGAGGAATGTAACAGCTCTCCTGCTAGGTGCTCACTGAGGCTGAAAGACTCAGCTTCTCAGGACCGTGGGAAGCCTCCCTCCCCCACCACCCCCAAAACAAACTTTCTAGTAGCGGGAATATAGCTTGCTGACACCATCAATTAATGCATGCTCAAACCACTCGATTCCAGAACATGCACGGGTGTGTGGGATACTCATCAGTATCGGCATTCCATCATAAATAGCACTGGGGGAGAAATACTATGCCGCTATTTCCTCACTGGCTCAGTGGGTTTTCAAGGGCACGCTAGGGAAGAGGGGACGGGCTGGCCCCAGACCTGGTTCCTCCACCGTGAGCAAGGGTCGTGGTCTGTCACGCTGCCTTCGAGTCCTGACCCTGGTGGTGGTGTCGGCAGAGACTTGCCGATTGGAAGCTAGGAAGCCTTACCTTCCCATCAGCTCCCAGCTCCACACCTTCAAGGCCAATGATCTCTTTCAAGCTCACGGCACCTGTGGACTGCTTCCCTCCATCCAACTTCAAATCCCTGGAGAGGACAAGCCCAAGAAAAAAATGCTTTGGTTTGTACTCAAAAGAGCCACGACGATGTTTACTACACAAGACACCACAGTCACACTGACGAAAACGAGCACACAGGCCCTGGCCAACAGGATATCCCTCTGACCCTGGGGGCCCGCTAGCACCACCTTGTTTCATCCACTTTGATATAAATGAAATGCAACCAAACGGAAAGCCTGCAGATGAAAGGCAGGCTCAGAAGCTGATGGACGACCGATGTTCCTCTGTACAAGGCCCCTCAGCTCACAGTCTGCTAACAGGAAGCCAGGGAGCATTCCCTGGGCATCACGGGGCAATGGTTGGTTCTCTTAGGCTCTGGCTGCTGGTTTCATTTTAAAGCTGGGAGAGACCACCTCTCCTGGCCGCCCCCTTTATTAGACAAAAGAAATCAATTCTTGTCCTAAACGGTTCCCAGGAGTACTGCTGGTAATGAAGGAATTAATGCCACCACATCCACCCCAGCCTCCTTGCCAGGGGACCCGGAACACGATCATCTTTCTATAAAAGAACAATCTCCAGTATTATCAGACATTTACACAGCACTTCGTAATTTACGAAGACTTCCACGCATCATCTCTGCCATCCCTTAACATGACCCTATCAGACAGGTATTGCTATTATTATCTTATTTCACAGAGGAAAAGCCCACAGGAGGCTAAGTGGCTTGCCAAGGTCACCAGGATGGCAGGCTGTAGAGACTGGTTTTGCATCCAGGGCTGTTTCTAGCACCTCACGTTGCCTGAGAGATGCAAGACTGAGCTGGCTGTGGTTACGCTCAGGTGTAACTGCTCACATTGTCAAGGATAATCCCCCTCCTTGCAGTGGTCCTCGGGCTTGGATGCTGATTAGAATCACCTGGGGATCTCTGACAAACTACCGCAGCCTGGACCCCACCCGCAGACATTCTGTTTCAGTTGGTATGGAGTGCAACCTGGGTGTCAGTTTTAAACACTTGCCAGGGGATTCTAAAATGCAGCCATGTTTGGGAAGGACTGTCTTCCAGTTTCTGGCTCTAGAATGTGGTGCTTCTTAGTCAAAAGTCATCTCAGGCTCGCAGCGTTCTTGCTGTGTGGCCTGGAGAGAGGCACCACATTCAGGGGCTGGCTCCCACAACCTAAGCAAGAACAAACAATACGTAAAGACAAGCCTCTCCAGGCAGAAGATAAAGAATTCAAGGAAAAAGAGAAGGAGCCGGGTGAGTGAGGGAACAGACAAGGAACCTCCCCTTCTGGGAAGGAAAATGGCTTCTCTGATTTAGTTGAGCAATCACTGGCTCTGTAAGCCTACCTCTAATGCAGAAGTGTGATTAATGACAGTTTTTAAAAGAAATAGCTATGGGGCACCTGGGTGGCTCAGTCGGTTAGGCATCTGATTTTCGGCTCAGGTCATGATCTCGGGGTCCTGGGATCAAAACCTGAGTGGGCTCCGTGCTCGGGGTTGGGGGGGGGGGGGGAGTCTGCTTGTCCCTCTCCTTCTGCCCCGCCCCACTGCTTGCGCATGCTCTCACTCTCATATTTAAAAAAAAGGGAATAGCCAAAATTTGCATCCAGTAAGTACTGCATTTTTTAAAGGTAGTCTCCTTAGGACGCCATGGTATTGCCATGCTCAAAACTTTCTGGAGCCCCCCTGGGAATCAACACTAAAGTCACGCAAAAAAAGCCAATAACCAACCCATCCCAGTCTGCAACCTTTGTATTTATACATATTTTTGCTCTGAACACTATTACTTGAATCAGTGCTCCCCCCTGCCCTGCCTACTGATGGACTGTAAATGAGTATAAATGACTTCAGGTAATTCCAGGCATCAAGCTCACCCCCTAGGGATGGTGCAGAACAGTAACTTACAGAGCTGTAAACACTCCGTTAGAAGGTGCAGACCATCCCATCCAGAGCTCCAAGCATATTCTGAGCAATGGGAGTACTCTCGGGATGTGCCTCCTCTGCGGGGGACTGTGAGGTCCAGGATGACTGAAATCACGTCACTTTATAAACATGCTCTGTGAACAGAGACCTGCATTCCAGGTATGGATCTTAAATCTGCAGCTAGAAGGGCCACGCAAGCAGGCGGGGAGCAGAGTGGGGCTCAGCGAGGCCACCAGAACCCGGGGATGGCACATGCCAGAGACCACCCACCCTGCTGCCCTGCCTCCTGTGGGAGCCGTCCGGGATGCTGGCCCTCACAAAGGGAAATGCCAACAGAGCAAGAACCTGAACCAGGCAACGAGGCAAAAGTAGCCGTGAAGGGCAAGGAGAAAGGGGACGGCCGTGGCAGCCCAGGGGGGGAGCAAGTACAAAGAGTGCAGCGCCTTGCATTTCATGAAAGTCTCTCCGGCTCACTTCCGGGACGTCCTCCTTGCCTGAAAAGCACCCCGGCAAGCACGTGCCTCAAATTCCCAACTCCCAAACAACTGTCTCCTTGTTTCCATTTTGCCAGACAGAGAATGTTATTTAGGGCTGAAACTAATTTAAAAGCAGGGCCCATCTTCATGGGGTAAGGAAACCCAGAGAAGGAGCACCTGGGTGGCTCAGTCGTTAAGCATCTGCCTTCAGCTCAGGTCATGATCCCAGGGTCCTGGGATCAAACCCCGCATCAGGCTCCCCGCTCAGCAGGAAGCCTGCTTCTCCCTCTCCCACTCCCTCTGCTTGTGTTCCCTCTCTCGCTATGTCTCTGTCAAATAAATGAATAAAATCTTAAAAAAAAAAACAAAACCAAAGAAATAAGGATATTAAAATATGCCCATTTTAAGAGTGCTCCTGAATGGAGAGCTGGCTGCAGGCAGGGACATTCCATGTTTCTGTCCAGATACACACGATGTCTGATGTGTAGTATTTACTTGAAGGAGCCAGGCAGCCTGGCTCTTTGCTGTCTCACCAGTGCTGGTTCCTTAGCTAAGTGCTCTGCTGCAGCCTCGTATTAACACGAGCCACACGAAAATGCTGTTATTTGCCCATTTTGACCTACGTACGCAGCGATTTCACATGGCGCCACCTGATTTACAGATAAGGTAACTGCTCAGGACTTACCCGAGTGAAAAGCAAGCAAGAGACCTATGGCCCCGGATGCCCCCGTTTGAGGGGAACTGTGAATGGTGCAGCTGCTTCACCCAGAAAACAGCTTTTAAAAACTCCAGTGAAGGGATGCCTGGGTGGCTCAGTCAGTTAGGCGTCTGTCTTCAGCTCAGGTCATGATCTCAGGGTCCTGGGATCGAGTCCCACATCGGGCTCCTTGCTCAGCAAGGAGCCTGCTTCTCCCTCTGCCTGCCTGTCTCTAATAAATAAATAAAATCTTAAAAAATATATATTTAAAAAACCCCAAAACTCCAGTGAAAAAGGATTAAGCAGAAGTCCCTGGGGAGTAGTGATAAAATCTTGATGTTTTCTTTCTAACATCATTATTCTGAATTCTCATTAAAATGGTGTATGAAAACAAGAAATATCGGTTTGGCTCAAAAGCCAGCATTAACCCTCCAAGAGCAAGAGAGAGCTGGGGAACACGGAGCTGCAGCTGTAAGTAATTGAAAGCAGACTGAAGTCGGACTTTCCAGTTTCTTTGAAAAGCCTAGGAGATTATTTTTCCCAGATACATGTAGAGTCCAAATATTAATTTATTTATGTTCCACCTCCTTCTAAAAATGGCATGAAGGCAAGTTCAAATACCAGATGTGGATACTGGCCAAAACCGTGTGCATTATGGTTTACACGCTGTAGCTTGCACTCACAGACGAACGTGGCTAGGCAGGTCCTAGGGAAGGATCTCATTTGGACTGTTGCACTAACAGAACCAGGGGTCAGGAACCATGGACAATGCAAGGGTCTGTTTTCTTCTCTTCCGCAGGCCCGGGTGACGCTATAGCTCAGACCTACTTAGCTGCAAGAGCTCATTTCTCATCTATTCAAGTTTCTTTTGCAGAGGCTGTAAGCAACAGACACACTTTGAAAACCCAGCACAAAGGTTTTCTTACAAAGTCTGGCCGGTGGGGATGGGGATGGATGGGAGATGGTTTAAGGGGGTCGGGGTAGGGGCTCACAGAAGATGGGGGAGGCAGTGAAAACAAGATGAAAATGCATTTGGGGAGACAGCCAAGCAGCAGTTATACCCTTAAGCAAGGGGCAAAAATAGAGGTTCTTTGTGGAGCGAAACCCTACTCTTCATAGGATGGCCCCGCAATTCACTGAATGTAGCTCTCCTTGAAAGCCTGTGACTTGGTGGTTGGAAACCCCCTGGACGTGTCTTAGTTTCAGCTCCCACGGCAAAGAGCAAATACACATGATTTTGCAGTTGTGGAATCATCTGGTCAGAGCAAATGGCCAATCTAGATATCCTGGTGCCCAAAGGGGATTACCTAGGTCACTGTAACCACACTACGGCCAACTCCTGATTTCATCCAGTGTAACGGGCAAAATGATCTTTCATTACCTTTTCTGATGCTCAAGGAGCCATAATGCATGGAACTGATCAAACAAGATTCCCTATTAAATAACAAGAAGTTTCGGGGCGCCTGGGTGGCTCAGTCGGTTAAGTGTCTGCCTTCGGTTCAGGTCATGATCCTGGGGTCCTGGGATGGAGTCCCGCATGGGGCTCCCTGCTCCACGGGGAGCCTGCCTCTCCCTCTGCCCCTCCTCCCCTGCTTGTGTGTGCTTGCACGCGCCCTCTCTCTGACAAAATCTTTAAAAAAGAAAAAAATTAAATAAGGAGTTTAAGGTAAGGCCTTCTCCTTAAGGAACATATGATTACTGAACCAATGTTACTCCTAATAAAAAAAAGATATGATTTAAATACTTAACACCTGGAAAGTAGATGGAACTGTGTAATCCAATTAACTAGTTTCCAGGGCTTTCAGCCTCCAAGATGGCCTGACTGCCACTGGTGATCATTTAATGGTGCTCTAAACTTGAGACCTTGGAATGCCAAACAGAAGCATCACTGGGCACTTGCTCATTAAGGGACAATAGTTTGAACACTTTGAT